GAGGGGGGGGGGAGTTGTGGGAACAAAGTGGTTTGTCATAGTGTACCGCCGCCAAATGACATTCGGGCCAAAGTGGAATGAAGCACGACTCTTGCTATGCCCCGCGAAAATAATGGCTTTGGCGAGCAGTATTGGCATTTCCCTTCGTCGCGCTAGCGCAGCGCTGTCGCCCTCCCTCCCCGACCCCGTCGCGCATTCACACATTATCGCCCTAGTGGAGGGTATTGATTGCTGTTGCTGGGCACCGTGCACTGCTTGGTATGAAATAGGCACAAGCATATTGCATCGTGTTTGAATAGCCGCAGCCGCGGGTGCTGCCAGGTGTCAAGTAATGCCACGGACACAAAGGTACACGTTTGAGAATTGTCAAGGTTCTCGGAAAATTGTCATTGGTGCGTTGTTGTAAAACTTAAAATTGCAAGTAGAACTTTTGACTTGGGATTCATGAACAAGCAGAAATATATTCTGTCGTAAATTTTTACAACGTTTGGTATGTCAGTTTGTTGTACGATAAATATACTATCACGTACCAAGGCGTTGCCGATGAGTCCGACCACCACGATGGCTAGGAAGATGAGGGGCACGACGATGGAGACGACCTTCTGCATGAGGGGTCCGATCTGTTCATCCGAGTCCGTGCTGTTGAAGACCATCGGCATGCAGATGATGGGGCTGGCGTCGTCCGTCATGTTGTTGCAGTCCACCAGGTAGCCGAGGGCGCCGCGCACCCCGAGCCCGGCCACGTCGGGCAGCCCGGCGGGCGGGCCGGACGCGCCGGCCTCGCCCAGGGCCTCACCCACCAGTGGCGGCGCCGTCATGCTGCAGCCAAACCGACTAGCAGCGGTCCATTCCTGCAAACAGAACGGAAAAGGGTCGTCAATAAAAGCGCAGATGGGTTTTTTGAACCCAATCCCGGCCGCACACTGCGGCCCCAACCTCATCTCGGTGAATGCGAGCGAGCGAGAGAGAGAAGAGAGCTCGCGGACCAGACCGGACCAGGGGAGCTGCGCGGGAGAGAGATTAGTCATCGGGACGCGACCACATCAAGGGAGATCCGCAGGCAATCAGTCGAGTTGAAAGTGAGTTGAAGGTGGTGAGAGCGGCGGTTGGAGGCGGGCGGGCGAGCTCGTCCGGGCGCGGGGGACGGACGGACAGACGGACGGACAGACGGACGGCGCGGCACCGGGCAAAAAAGAAAGGCGGAGGAGGTGCTGGAGGCCGAGGACCGGGAGGCCACACGTGCGTGGAATGGCACAGTAGTAGTGGACAGGCCGGGGCCCCGAGGCAGAGGGCCCTGCCCCGCAAATCCAGCAAAAACAAACGAAAACGCGAACTACTCGGGTGTTGTGGGCAGAAAGAGAAACACTCCGAAAATCTAACTAGGAAAGGGAGTCTGCTGAAACGCACGCTCTTTGCTAACACACCTATAGACACGCTTTTTTAAGTGAGATGGGACGTCGTCGTCATGAGAATAATGTATTCGTTGGGTTGGTCTACCAATGCACTCAATTAATCGTTTTTAAATTTCAAAACAAATTGAACAACTTGGAGGAACCACTTGGTTAACCAGATTCAATTAAATTGTGTTACGCAAAAACGCAATGAAGTTATTCACTACAAATGAGCTGCTGTCCTTAAAGTATATGTCTTATAATTTTTTTGATGGGCCTTCGTCCTTTGAGGGAGAAGCTACTTTTCTCCAAGGTCAAGTGCCACCGCTGGACGAGGGGCCGCAAAGCAGATTAAAATATCTCGGGAGGAAAGACAAACGGGAGGATAGAGCTGCACTGCAAAAAGCTTACAAGAGGTTCGTATTACCCGATGATGCGAAATATATTCCTCGTAGCTTATAATAAAGCATAATTCTCAAGCGTTGTAATTCGGACGCATTCTTCGTCAGCTTACGAACACAGGGTTCTTTAATGCCGACCAATTTAAGTACAACGATTCTTCGTTAAAAAAAGAGGGAGAATCTTCGTTACGTCACTAAGAAATAAGTTCGCAAGCATTTTGCAGTGCTGACAGACAGCGCTCCTGGAACGCAATTCTTCTCGAGATAAATAATTAGCGCCAACACCGTCCAAAACCGTGGGAAAATTTACCTAGATCCTTTTACGGAAAACTGGCAAACATCGCGCGCAGAAGAAAATTGACGGTGATGTTTCTCGGAGAGAAAGAGCTCTCAGCAGAGAAGACGAGCGCAACCGTGGGCGGCGGACTTGCCCTGGTTGTGCGAGGCGACAGCGATGACCCGCGGGGCACGCCGCCGTGAGCTCCCTCTCCTCCGCAAATACGCCGCGCCAGCGCCCCGCCACCACCTGTTGCTCGGCTTCCGCCGTCCACGTCCTCCGCACACAGGCGCGAGCGCGAAGAGGCGAAGGAGTATCCTCTCAATGTTGAAAACCGTTTTAGCACTAACGACAATTTTCACACAGTCTATTGGAATAACAGTCTTCAATTGTGAAGTATACGATACACTAAAGTGTAGGGAAGGCGACTCAGGGTAGGCCAACCCGCTGTACACAACATGCACTGCAGGCAAGGTTGTTGCCTCTACCCACTAGGTGCTTTGATAGCTCGCATATAGGCTGAACGAAGCCGGTGGCAGGTTCATAACGCACTTTTTGAATGAGCCCTAAGAAAGCTATGCGCGGTGAGTCGAGTCGCCCCGAGGCCCGAGCGCTGTACTGCCCGAAGCAGGCCGGGGGGGCGCGAGCAATACAGAAATCCGTTGGCGGAACATAAACGATTACCGTAACGAGATTCGTGAGGGCGGAGCTTTGACGGACTGGGGAAAATGCGGAAGTGGCGTACGATTTCGGAGTAGGGGGGTGGACGGGTGTTATCGGGGAAGAAAAAGTCACATGCCCATTGCCCAACACAAAACCCGCCAGGGAGACGTTCGTAGTTTGAGGTGACGGGTGGTAAAGCGATTGCGATTGCAGGGAAACGCGGTAAAAGTTTGTACCTCCGCGTAACAATTTTAATCAGGCAGGAAGTCTGTTACTGAAAAGGTTTGCATCGATGTGATCTCACAGGAGATCAGGCGAAATGGCGTTAAATCGTGTGGCCTGGCCACCAGGAAACTTTTAAGAAGTTTGACGTGACAGGTGGAAGAGCGGAAAGGTTTGCGCCTCCCTTGAAGGAATAACTTTCAACTTGTGATTACTAAAACATCAAGTTATACAATGTAAACATTCTTTGCAAGGGTAAAATTCACGCCAATGCTTTTTGGTGACTTATAAAACTGGTCGAATTAAATGTTTTGCTGAAGTTCTTGTCAGTGTCTTACAGAACATTATTAAGTCTGCGAATAAAGGCGCAGGTGGGAGGCGCGGGCAGTTGGAGGGGAGAGAGGGTTGAACGAGGGAAAGTACAATTACGCCACGTAAAGTCTACAGAACCAATGGCTGGCTCAATAACGGGTACATTTTATACATTTTCTGTTCCGCAAACATTTGAAGCGAGATTCTTATGGCTGCGGCTGGCACTTCTCTATATTTGGACGTAGCCGGTGTGGGAGGGCTCGAAACAACTACTTTCCTCCACGAAAAAAATCCTACAGCTGTTCGAAAAATAAGAAAGTAAAAACACCACCACAAGCAAACGGTCCCGTAATTGTCGAAACCTTATCAGATTTTCAGTCTGCCGCCGCTAACATTACTTCCTTCCTTCTTCACAACATCGCACGCAAAGCGAGAGAGGCCGAGAAACGCAAAAAAAAAAAAAAAAAAAAAAAAAAAAAAAAACACACATGGCAAAGAAAACTTTTCAGAAATGCCTCATATGTTTGGATTTCTGCTACAATTGTAATAAAAAGGTTTTCGATCATTTCATAAGTTTGTCAATACACGTTCGAGCTCTGCCCAACTATGACCTCCGGCGGGGCAGGGTGTAGAGACGTGTCAAGCCCCACCCCACCACCCCGCCATTGCACGGCCTAGTTATATTCGGGTCTTGTTCTAGCCTGTCGAGGCGGGGCGTGGCGGGGCGTGGCGGGGCGTGGCGTGGAGCCCTAGAATACAATAACAAGTCCGCGCCCCGCCGCCCTCGGGGGCGGTGCGGGGGGCGCTCCGCCTGGTCCTGGTAAACAAGGGGGCTGCCTAGGTCATGTCCGACTGGCGCGGAGGTTCCCCGGGGTGGTGGTGGTGGTGGTTGTAGCAGTAGAGGCGGCGGCGAACAGCAGGAGGCAGAAGCAGGAGAGTCGGCGGCGGCAGCAGCCACCCCCCTACCCCCTCCCTCCCCTCTGACGCTGCTAGCTGCCTTTCCCTTTATCAACACGTAATTATAATCATCATTATTACGCTCGGCAATTATTTAAAGACAGCAGAACAGAAGCAGACGTCGACAACGCGGCCTCCATGAAAAGGGGTGAGTGCCCGCCTCAGGCCCAATCGTCACTCACTCTCTCTCCCTCACTCTGTCTCTCTCTGACGCCCGCACGCAGCGACACGTACACGCGCACACACACCACAAGCCGAGAGTTTATTTTGCGAAATTCGGCGTCCCTTCTCTGTGTTGTTTACCATAGAGCAAGCCCGTGTGGCGAAGCGGTGTAGAGTGGTGTAGGGGGTGAGTAGTGGGAGGGTCGGCTCGCAAGCTCGGGTCAGGTGCGCCCCGTGCGCCGCCCATACCAAGAAGGGGTCATACTGTGACGGGTACACGACACGACGCTGCTGCTGCTGCTGCAGGTGCTCTTTCGTACGGCAACAACAAACGGAAATCGCAAGAGCATCGCGTCATTCGTGGAAAAGGCGCGAGGCACACCCAAAACAATGTGTTCTCAATTCAAGATGATACCCAAAATTTTAAGGCAAATAGGGATTAATTTAATCCCTGTTTACTTAATTGCTGAGCTTAACTTGAACTTGAATTGGATGGCGTGAAGTGACGCGCCTGGCGTGAGACGTGGGATGTGAGGTGGACAGGCATGCCAACCAAAATCGCGAAAACATTTTCATTTTAGCGCGCCGCAGGCCAGGGTAGACGCACATTTAGCTCAGCTTCAACGGTTTTAACGTGCGTCTACCTTGTTTAAGTGTAAATAGGGGTTAAAATAAGAACATTTGCCTTAAAATTTTGGGTATCATCTTGAATTGAGAACACATTTCTTTGGGTGCATAGAGCAAGTGCAGCAGCGGAGGGGCCGAGCCGAGGCGGCGTGACGCCCGCGTGACGTGCAGAAAGCGGCATTAAAAGGCGTCCGAGAGGTAATAATAAATTCAGACGCCGCCAGCTGCGGCGGTGGCGGCGCCTCCGCTCGCCCTCTTCCTCCCCGGCGGCGCTCGCGATTATTCTCTGACGCGGGGCGCGGGTCGGGTCAGGCGCTGCTCGGCGCGTGGGAGGAGGTGGTGGCAGCGGGGGCGAGGCCCTCAGGTGCGGCTGCGGCTCCATTCAGGACCACACACACGCGCGCACGCACGCACGCACACGCACACACACACACACACACACACACACACACTTGTTATTCACGCGCTCAGACGCGAGTCGCGGTCGCGGTGGCTTTCGAATGTGGCGCACTTCCAGGGTCTGGCTGGCGATTACGGCGGCTTCGCCTCGCAGCCTTTGTCTGGTGTGGGTCGAAATCTCGGAAGGCGACTAATTCATTAAAACAAATTTAATGGGAAAAGTTATTTTGTTTTCCACAGCCAGGGGTAAATATCAAACATGCGTATTGGTGTCGAAGAAACACAGAGCAAGTCCTACGATAATATTGATATGACCATGAATACATTTCCACCAAGATAATAATGAAATACTATCAATGTTTTTCAATTCCTGGTTTTTTGCCCTGCAGCCTGCTGCATTTCCCGCCCGGTTCGCGCATTGCTACACACACGGCGCCCAC